TTTAACCGGCCGTCGCCATGGCAATCTGGCATCTTGACGGCTCTGACAAGGCGAAGAAAAGACATTTAAAGAAACGGAACTGCGAGCAACAGGCTGAGAAGCACAGTGCGCACCCCGGGCTCGCACGTGGCCGCCTCGTCCGGAGCGTGGGCGGCAGCCGAGGCCTCCTGTTCCCTGAGGACGGGCAGCCGCCGGGCGACCAGCCCAGCCCAGGCGCCTGGGATGCGGCAAGGGGACAGCACCAAGCACGGCCACGGGGCGGTGAGGAGCCCGCGGACCAAGGGAGGGGTGCAGCCACAGGGAGGGGTGCAGCCACATGGGGTGGCCACGCCTCCAGGCCTCCAGGCCAGCTCCCTCCTGGGGAGCGACTTCCATGAATTCTGCATCCAGGAGGGCGGGGCCACCGTCTCCCCAGGGTGAGGTGCAATGTCAGCTCATTCTAGGCAAATATTTGATCAAAAATGGCAATCATTGCCTTGGCCGGTGTTGCTCAGTGGCTAGAGCGTAGGCCTGCAGACTAAAGGCTCCTGGGTTCGATTCCAATCAGGGGCATATGCCTGGGTTGTGGGCTCGATCCCCAGTGTGTGGGCGTGCAGGAGGCAGCTGATCCATGATTCTCTCTCATCAGGGACGTTTCACAAAAAGGACACCCAGCTCCCGGTCAGCAGGCGGAGCCGGAGGACGGGGCAGGCAGTGAACGGGCAGGAGGGCAGGGTCTCGGCCGAGGCCCCTGGCAGGAAGCAACGAGCTCACGGAGGGTGAATCTGACGGATGCTCCTTCGCGGATATTAGTGACGATGACTGTGGGGTTTAAAGCACGCGTAGACTCCGCACACGTAACAGCAGCATGAAAACCGATGGGGGATCAAGAGAGTGGAGTCGTGCAGGAACCGGTGTGGCTCAGTGGATAGAGCGTCGGCCGGCAGACTGAAGGGTCCTGGGTTCGATTCCAGTCAGGGGCATGTACCTTGGTTGCGGGCACATCCCCAGTGGGATGCGTGCAGGAGGCAGCTGATCGATGTTTCTCTCTCATCGATGTTTCTAACTCTCCTTCCTTCTCCCTTCCTCTCTGTAAAAAATCAATAAAATATATATTTTTAAAAAAGAGTGGAGGAAGGTTACGAGGTTCTTGCCTTCCTGGGAAGCAGCTAAGCGATCCTCGAAGGCCCGTTGTTCCAAGAGTCAAGAACGTGCCTTCTAATTTCTCCGGAAGCCAGAATATTTAAAACATACAAAGTACTTAACAAAGCGAAGGAAAGGGAGGGGAGAGAGTAACACGTGATTAAAACCAAGGACCGGAAGGCCGATTACAAAACGAAGAGGCGACGACACACTACGTTTCAAACAGCAACTTGACGTACGACCCTAAGTGTAAAGGGACGAAAGGCTGCAGCGAGAAGCCGTGACTGGCAGCCTCTGTCAGACTAAAACGACTCCCTTCCGCTCTCAGAGCCGTTTCCAAATCAAGACACAGAGACGGTGAAAGTAAGAGGGTGGAAGGACATGCACCTCAAAC